GGGGGGGGGGGGGGGGAACTATATGGTCATTTGAAACTAGGAAGATTAAAAGAAAAAGCAGAAGTAATTTTATAAGGGAGATCAAGCAAAAGCTAAATTTAAGTGATTACTTATGCCAATAACAAGTATCCAGTGTTACAAAGTACAACAGTTATAACCAAAAGACTTATCTTTCCAATTCCTTAAATTTATATTTAAAGAACAGCTTCTTCCTTAAGAAATAAGGCCTAGTTTTTTTCCCAAAGAAATTTTCATAAGTCTTCAGTAATTTATATGCAAAAGATTTATGAACATTATATCATTTGAGATATATATCTTTACACAGAAAATACTTATCCTAAAGTCTTACTCTTTCCAGAAATTTCCATTTCAAAATATTTTTATTAAAAATATACCCATGCATACTAGTTACATGGGTGTGCTTAATATGTGAAAATTCACTGAGCTGTACACTTAGAAATCATGCACTTTTAAAACGTAAGTTTTACTTTAATAAAAAGTTTAAAGAAAACACCCATTTACAGATGCTCAAGTAAATATTTTCAGCAAGTTTTAGTCCAAATAAAATGGAAAAATTAATGTGTGTGCATGTGCAGTAAATAAAACACTGCACGTGAAAGCATATATCACCACTAGGTACATACAAAACCGGGGAAAGCAACTCATTTATTGCCATTCTGATGAATACAGGGGTTAAAGGTAGCACTTAAATTCAAAATACAGGAGAACAAAACTACACCTAAATTAAAAGGCAATACAACAGGAGACAAAGGGGAAAGAACTAAAACAATGGGAATTCTCTTTACCTATTATACTGGAATTCTAATAATCTGCTTTATCCAACGGACACACACACCTTTGATCTTTTTCTCTCATATTGTTTGGGTTCACACAATGACTTTCCTACCAGAATTTTCTGAAAGCAAATGCACTCTTTATCCAGAACAGGAGAAGTCTGAGTTGGAGGGTAAGGGTAGAGGCACAGCTGTTTTAAGTTATAAAGTAACGCTATACACCAAACTCACTGAATTATTTCAGGAGCATTAAATACGGTAAATGGAGTCCTTTCTGCTAGCAATTAACATAAATTAAATGTTGATGGGAACTTCATTGGTGTCATGATCCTTAATTTTACTGTATTTGTATTTTACTGTATTAGAAACAGCACTAGCTTCGTTATTCCTTGAACTGTAATTATCACTAATGGATTTTACCCTAATTAAGATCCCACCTGTATCTGGATTACGTGCTTGACTTGTTTCTTTTTCTCACAGCAAAAACACAACTGCAAAGAACACTGGGCTCTGACTGCCTCTTTTGTTCCTAAGTGACTTACATGAGGTTATAAGCTTTGCTGTTGGCCTGAAACTCTCCCTGCAATCTTTACTCCGATATTTCCCCAGGACTGCTGCTTCCCTACTTTCAAAACCATGGAGTTGTCTGTCAGGGGATAGCACCTGGCAGCACAGTTGACCTCATACTTTCACAACAAGAAAGGCCGTGCCTTTGCTGTCGGCTTCCACTGCTAAAACACTCTGCACCCCATTACTCATGATCCTGTGCTTTATAAAACAACTGGACATAACAATGCTTGCTAAATGCAAATTAATCCCAGTGTATCCCAAAATGTCAAGGAAACCTCCTACAAATTAGCAGAATTCGTCTCACAAACACATCATCTGAGAAAAGTAAATTCTCGAGTTAAGTTCTATGGTAATAAACTATAAAAAGAGGATTGAGATTGCTTTTGGAAATAAAAGATGACACTGTTAGATTTTTCCTGTCTGTGCTGCCAGGAGTAAGTAATTAGGTTATTTCTAAGTAACTACACGTGCTCAAGCCATCCTAATGGGCTTCGAGCATGGAAGGTTACTAATTTTCCAAGGTAGCAAAAATACTTAGCTTATTTATTATTTCCATTTCATGCAATTGTGATTTTTCTTTCCCCTAGCAGCTGGCCGCCAAAGGGATCGATTGAACCCTAGACCTTGGTGTTATCAGCACCACTCTCTAACCAACCGAGCTAACCGGCCAGCCCCAATTGTGATTTTAAAGATGACAGATGGTAATAAACCATTTTGGCTTTCATAAGTCATTTCATCATGCAATTATATTTTTACTAGTTGCATTTTACTAATTGCATTTTTACCTGGATGGACACTAGTTCCACTTTATATGGTCCTGTCTCTCAACTTGGATTCTATTCAGGTATGAAATTTGCTAAAGGATCATAAATGCCATAAGTTGTGTATTTATGTATAATTGGTGCCACCTCTATTATTGTACCCTGTATTACCAAGCAACTGAGAAGTCAGACTGTGCTGACACCATTTTGATGATTTCTCAAGCTTTTTTTCTAGTCTTTCTCATTTCCTGAATATAGTTACAGCTCCTATAATAGCATATACACTACCTTTTAAAATAGGAGAAAACAGAGAATCCTCAATGCATATTAATCAACTCTCCCCTTACCAAAATAAAGAAATACACGAACTAAAAAAAAGATAAAAAGGAAGCCAGTCTCTTCCCCATGATAGTTCAGAATAACCTCAAATAAACCCCAAAGGAAGGTCTAAGTGTGAAAGCCCTTCTCATCGTCACAAGAACAGAACATACAATACACATGGTACAATTTCAGGAGAGTTCAGAACTTCTGGATCTTGCCTGAAAGGAAAAGCAGCTAAAAAGGCCTTTTCAGACAGAAGGTAAGAACAGTTCAATGATACATTAAAAGGGCCTTGTGTTTTTAACCTAGAAACACTTGAGTAGTAACCAATTCAAAGCCTTCAAGTAGCCGCCAGAGGATTCTGGTGGCCCCAACCATCCTCCAAATGGGCTACTCACTGCCACCGCCCCGCAGAAAGCTTCGGGGAGGTCTGTACCCACCTGGTCACATCCTGCATTCACCAGCTCCTGCAGCATTTGCCGGTTTACTTCTGCGGCTGCGGAAGTGCCTGATTCATTAGCAAAAGGCAACAAGGAATATCTGATTTCCCTCAATGCTTTCTGGTAAGGACCGAACTTCGGGGTGGCTCTCTGCTGCTGCTGCTGCTGCCTGGCGGCATCCTTGCTCCCCAGGACTTTGGCATCCAGGGAAGTGTCACTGTTTGGTCCCACGGGTAACCCCTGAGCCGAAGACTTGGATGGCTGCTTTAACCCCTCGCGAATCTCTTGCAATCGCTGCCGGCTATTTCCAGAATAAGTTGTGGCAGGAAAAGTCTTTGGCCTCATTGTTAGTCCAGTTTCCTTTTACCATAAATACAATCTTCTTAAAGTGTTTGATTATGTTTTTAAAAAACCTGTCAACAATATCAGTTAGTTGTAAACATACTTTCAAAACAATTTCCGTTTGAAAATGTTCTTTCCTTCAGTTTTTGTAGTTCCTATAGAGAACGTAAAATCGTCCAGGGTCTTCATTTTGAAGATCATTGCTCCCTGAAAAAGAAAGTAAATGGGTGAAAAATGCTCATTTGTGGTTTTCACATAATGTTAACACCACTTTTCAGAAATGGACAGTGGTCTTGGAAATATTCTACTTGGAAAGAGGAAAGAACACATCACCTCTTGGAAATAACAAAAATACTGTTCTACTCTGATTAGAGCACATGACATCTAGGGCTGTCCCAAAATGTTTTCTACAACATGTCATGTGCAACGAAGTAAATCTCTATAAATATTCAACTCAAGGCAAGAACAACAGTATTAACAATTGATAGCTCATTTAAAATACTTCATGATATTTTCATTTTGAAAGCCACATCTTGAGTTTTAAGGGTTAAATTTTCTACATGGTTCTTGAATTTCTGACTTGTTCCTAATAACCAACCAACTCCTGGCCCATCCCAGTCCTTTGTCCTTCATCCCTTCAGTTTTACCAACCTCGCCACCACCTGAGGCTGTGGTCCTTCCACATCCCTGGAAATTTTCCCTTATAAACCCTCTCAATTTTCCTGAAAGGCACCACAGAACTTGTCACATGTGTCTTTTATTGCAATTGAAATCAGTTTCCGCACAATACATTAATGCTTGAGACTGCTTCCTTGATTTTTCACAAGGTGGCCCCTTACCAGCATTTTGACCTAAATAGCCAAAGAAAAATAACTTTCTTGTAGAAATTGATATTTATATGGAATGGGACTGGTAACAGCATGTGGGCGACTTCTTTCTCAGAGTCCATTATGACCACATTAACAGCAAATGGGTGTTATCAATAAAAGTTACTAGTATAGACTACCTATGACTTCAGCATGGAAATAGCCTCATTACATAGAAATAGACATCACAAAGGCAACCCCTGACAACTGTCGCAAGGCTGGGTGACCTTGGACAGGTCGGCTGCCCACCCTCATCCCAGCACGTGGTCTGTGCAATAGTGATGACACCTGGAATGTGGGTGGTGTGTACTGGGTGAGGTGATGCATGTGACCGGCTCAAAGCAGCCAGGACATAGGACATCCTCAGTGCTCACATATTCACATAGCCGGCTCTCCTAACCCTGGCACAGATGCTCACTGGTGGCAAAGGCAGAGGGACCAGTGCCCTGGTGGCCCCATCTTTTGCCCTCGCCCCACTCATTCCTCTTATTCCACAAACTCAATGAGCAGACTTTGAAGGACAATCACGTTGAGTTTTAATGAACAAAGAAAAACTGATCCAAAAAGAGCATCCTTTACAAGGGGAGGGGCAGGGGGATCTAGACTTTGTAAGTGTAAAATGGGACCCCGCTTCACAGACGTTTTCATGTGGCAAAAAAAAAAAAAAAGAATAGCTAATATTTATCCAGCACTTTCAATGTGCCAGGCACTGTTGAAAGAATTTTATATGCATTCACTTATATAGATCTGATATATAACCACATACAACCAAACGTAACCAAAAACTATAAAACGTGTTTCTTTCTTAGATGGGGATGGGGGGGGGGTCTTAAGTGTTTTAACTATTCCCTTTCTCAATGTAACTGAGAGAAGATTCCATTTAGAAAGTAAGAGCCAGACTAAATAAATGTTTCAACATGAAATCCCTATTTTAATACACTGTATCTGATATATGAAAGTCACTGACATGACTGAGTTAAGAATGTGCAGATAGTGAGCTACTAGATCCAAGCACAGCTGAGATTCCCCGGGGGCCTGCGCTGGCCACGGACCAGAAGCCTGGGGCGCTGCCTAATTGGTGTAAAATGGGGCATATTGCAACCACACTCACTTTCAGTGACTTAGCGGTCTAAGCATCTGTTTTGAAATACCTAAATTTCTAAAACCATAAGTTCACATTCCAACAAAAATGGAGAGATCCTCAAGCTGCCAAGCACATAGGGACGATCCTCAGAGTGACTCGGGACGTATGGGAATAGGCAGAAGAGTTCTTTTTCTACAGGAATTCACACAAACCACTTTAGTTTTCTTCCCTTTCTCTGAAAACTAAAATAGAGAGGACATAAGCCAAACCACCTTCTCGCCAAACATCAGTGCAAGGAGGGGGCCTGATGACACGCAGGGAGGGTTTCTTCATGGCCAAAATGTGCTCACCACCCATCCCCTCACCTACCCCCCAGCCACCCCTCCATCTACCTTGCAAACATCTGTCAAATGCCCACTGGTCTCAGGTCCTGGCAGACAGATGAACAAGAACAAAATCCTGCCTTCAGCAAGTTTATAGTCAAGTGAAAGGTGAGGGTGAGCAGGCAAATATAAACAGCTTCAAGCAAAAAGAGATGTCCAAAAGGAGAGAAAAAAATCATCTGAAGCGTAGGAGGATGAAGGAGAAAGTCAGGAAAGTTTTGAAGCAGAGATCGCTAAATCTGAGTGTTGAGAAGCATGGAATTCCAGCCAGAGGGTCAGGCACCGAGGACTGCGAAAACTGCAGGCTCCACCCTGGTGCATGGTGGAGGCTCTCCCTGGGGAGACAGGAGGGATGAGCCCATGGAGGGCTAAAGGGGCTCAATCCAGAAGGACCTCCAAGGCCATGTTAAGAGTCTGGACTCAATGCAGAAGAGGGGAGCCACCATCTGTGGCTGAGCTAAGGAGTGACATGGCCAGAACTGCACCTGAGAGACTTGAGTCTGGAAGCCAACCAGAAGGTGGACTGGAAGGGACAGGGCAATGCCCCAGGCAGGTGACCGATGCTGGGTGAGGAGCAGCAGCTCCAGGAAGGGACACGGGCAGGGGTTTCAGGTGCTGGTCACACCTTGGCCAGAGGTGTGGGTTGAAAGACACAGATGGGAGGGCCATCAGCATACAGTACACTGACCCCTCCAGTGGCCTGTCTGCTCAACGACGAAACAGAGCCATTTAGGTGAGTAAATGACTGCAGTCTTCCGGCTGGCATTCCTAGAAGTATAGCAGTCTATAATAGGTCTCGTCTACCACCAGTGACATTAGCGGACTACAGAGAAGGGGCAAGCTGCTTTCCACTCAATGACAAAAGGGCAAGGGCCACAAGAGATGGTCCAGGTTGCAGAAAAAGAGCTTTGAGAAAGTTCCGTGGTAAAGCCAGGACATGGGGACATCCTCTCTGCCTTGTCACATGAGCAGAGAGAAGGGGAATCAGGGGTAGCTGAAGGAGGCCCTGGTTGATCCTGAAGCTTGAAAGCTCTCCCTGGAATTTGCTCTAAGGAAAGCTGCTGGAAGCTGGGAGCAGCAGCTATAAAGCTTTTTGCAGGGGGTGGAGGAAATCTTTTTACTTCAGTTTAACATATATTTTCTAAAGTGCACAAATTGTAAGGCTGACAAATGTTCACAAAGAGAACACACTCTTGTAAACAATATCCAGATCAAGAAGTATATCACCATGACCCCAGAAGCCCTCAGTCACCTCAAGGGACACCACCTTCAAGACTTCTAACAACAAGAATTAGTTTGATGAATCTTTCAAGTTTATATCCAGGAGTTACAGTCTGCACTTTTTATGTTTACTAATTTTGTTCGACATTGTCTGCTTTTTCACATGTGGGGTAAAGCAATAACTTGTCATTCTTTGTGGCTAAATAATATTCCATTGTGTGAATACACCATGACTTATTCATCCATTCTACCACTGCTGGGCATGCAGGTTGCTCCCAGGCCCACAGCTGTGAGGAGTTGGGGACTGAGTGGTCTGCTCCACAAGTGTGCTCCTACCACCATGCCAAGTACTTTCTGTACAGTTACTGGCAAAGCCCCCGGTGGCTCATATGGTGCCTTTGTGAGATTATAAAAAGGAACCTTTTCCTCAAGTAAAATTTTCTGTTACTACATTATTGTACAACATGAAAAACTCTTGCCCTGGGGAGCTTCCCAGAGCCCTACACGTGGCCCACTCATAGAAATACCCTGATGCCACATGTCATACCAAGGTGAGGGGCCTGGAGAAAGTCTGAATCAAAGAAGGGTGGGAACTGGACCTCTGAGGCACAGGAGAGAAAGGAATGGTCTTGGTGCAGGTCACAGAGAAGGGAAGTGATCATGTGTGCCCTCCAGAATATGTGCATGACCTGCATGCTATGTGGCTTTATCAGGGGAGGTGACTCCACTGTTACCCAGGTCTTCTGTGAGCGGCTCAGAGTGTCCAAGTAGTCTGAACATGCCCTGGTGTGAATGAGTATATGTATGATGTGAGGTGTGCCCTCTCACATGCAGAGCCCTTGAGCAGTGCAAAACCTGAACACCCACACAAGGTGGCCCTGTTACTAGGACTTGGGGATGCAGAAGAGAATGACCATCCTCTGACTTTAAGAGGCTCATAGATCAAGATAGGGAGACAGATAAGAAAATCAATTACTTAAATACAGTATAGTATGTGTGACAATGAAAGTCTGCCTGAAGAATTATGGAGATCTGAAACAGACTAGAGCTGCAGGATGGAGAGAAGTGGGTGGATATTCAATAGTACTAAGAGGCAGAACCACAGGAGTTGGTCGTGTTCACTGGAGGGGACTGGTTTGAAAGACAGAGCCCAAGTTTCTGGTTTTGAAAATGGAGTCAATGGTGGTGCCATTCTCTGACACAGGAAACCTCACCCCTCTGGACAATGGGGACCTCATTATCAGGTCAACAGCCTCAGTGGCAAAGGAGGAGGGCAGTCACTGGACGTGAGGGAGCACAGGCAGGGGAGACTCAGTGCTTAGGCAGGAGCAGCTGCAGGTGGGCGCCCAGCTCTGGCACTGAGCACCGTGTGGTCTGGATGCCACTTAACTTCACCGAGCTTCAACCTCCTGCTGGTGACAAGGGTCTAACACCTTGCTCTGTGTGCCTGACAGGGGTGCTCTGAGGATCACATGGGAGCTGCCTGTGAGATCACTCTCAGTTTGTAGCATGATATAGTAGTCAGTTATTATCATT